ATATGTATATGTATTTATTATTATGTGTATAAGGCATATATAAATTGAATTTTTTGTTTCAACTACATCCCATCCTAAAATATCTCATTGTGCATAAGCAAATATTCCAAAATCCCCCCAAAAAACTGGAAAGCTGAACACTTTTGATTCCAAGCATTTTGGATAAGGGAAACTAAATTAAGCTTTTTTTTTTAAAAAAAAAGATGGGGTTTCACCATGATGGCCAGGCTGGTCTTGAACTCCTGACCTCAGGTGATCCACCCACCTCGGCCTCCCAAAGTGCTAGGATTACAGGTGTGAGCCACCGTGCCCGGCACAACTAAGCTTAATTACTCAGTAAAACAAAGTTCAAACACTAGGGCTACTCTTCATATTATCACCCAACTGCCCAGAATCCAAGTACTGATGGCTGATCCTTCCAGTTCCTAAGAAGACAGTCTTGACACACACCCAATATCCATTTAGCCTTGTTTCCCACCTTTACCTCCCAGTAATGTCGGCCAGAACAAAATCTCTGAGAGCCCAGGACAGCAGGGCAGGCATAATATCTCCTTGGGTCATAACAAATGTTTGGTTTTGTTCTTCCGTATCACACAGCTTTTCTATCCGCAGAGACAATAAGTTGAGGATGTGCTGTGCCAAGATCTAGATTATGAAAAACGGTGGTATCCGAGCATCAAGAATCAGACTGATATCAGACTTATCAAAACCATCATGGCCTAAAAATTAAAATGATTCCAAACATTCTCTTTAACTGTCACCTAAATATGGGTGAAGTCATTTGCAAACTTGTAGTCTGCCAAACTTTACATCGCTGCAACATTTGGGTTGATGACATCCCAAAATGAAAAGATAAAGAGGAAAGCAGAGACTTAAGCCAAGAAAGAATCCAAGAACAGAGGTCAATTCCTAGCATGGTAGTGACTGGAAGGCTGGCAGCTGTACTGGGCTAGTGGAGGCGATATACAGAAAGAAGAAAAGAGCTGTTAGAGATTAACTATGGATTGTGGATAGGTAAGTATATGTGGGGAAATGATTTAAACAAAGTGAAATCCTCACTATCCACAAAAATAAGTCAATTGTTTCAACTGACACACATGAAAGAACAGAAAAGAATTGATGAGAAATATGGGGGTAAACAGAAGAATCAACTAAAAAGAAAGGTATGTGGCAAATATATTTAAATAATGTATACAACTTTAAATTGGCTTAACTAAAAAAATATAGGCAATTTGAAACATTTTATTGGACATGTTAAGGTAATATAATTCTCAAATATTTTATCTTAGAAATCAAAGCACTTGACAATTGATATTCATAACATATATGAATGTGGCATTATGAACTTTTTAAAAAATTTTTTTAGAGATGGGGTTTCACCATGTTTGTCAGGCTGGTCTTGAACTCTTAACCTTGTGATCCACCTGCCTTGGCCTCCCAAAGTGTTGGGATTACAGGTGTGAGCCACTGCACCTGGCCTTTTTTCTTTCTTTCTTTTTTTTCTTTTTGAGACAGAGTTTCACTCATGTTACCCAGGGTGGAGTGAAATGGCGTGATCTCGGCTCACCGCAACCTCCGCCTCCTGGGTTCAGGCAATTCTCCTGCCCCAGCCTCCTGAGTAGCTGGGATTACAGGCACGCGCCACCATGCCCAGCTAATTTTTTTTTGTATTTTTAATAGAGACGGGATTTCACCATGTTGACCAGGATGGTCTCGATCTCTTGACCTCGTGATCCACCCGCCTCGGCCTCCCAAAGTGCTGGGATTACAGGCTTGAGCCACCGCCCAGCCGCCTTTTTTCTTTTTAAATTTCTTTTTTTTTTTTAATTTAAACCCCCTCCCCCAATGAACATGTTTTTACGGTTGCCAAAAATTTAGGAGAAAAATCTACTCTGGTTTTCAGTGGTAAAACTTAAAGATTCCAGAAATGAGACTAAATTTACTGGCTAAGTTACCCACAAAAACTGAAACAGACTGATTTACCAGTTCTTTATCCTTCAGAATCTGATACTGAACAGATTTTAAGAGGTTTGGAATCTGTTCCAGTGTAGAAATAAGGCCAAACAGCTTCTGTGAAAGAATCATTAAAAGTATAGAGAACAGACCTGTCATTCATATTATAAAACGAAAGATCACCCAATTCATAGTCCAGAAAAATACCAATCTTACTGGGATTTACTACTGGCAGAAGCCGGGTTGTCTTAGGACCTGACACAACATAACCACTCTTCATATATCGCCCAATTGCCCAGAATCCAGCCAGAACTGATGGCTGATCCTGCCAGTTCCCAAGAAGACAGTCTTGACACACACCCAGTATCCATTTAGGCTTGTTTCCCACTTCTACCTCCCAGTAATGTCGGCCAGAACAAAATCTCTGAGAGCCCAGGACAGCAGGGCAGGTATAAAATCTCCTTGGGTTGTAACAAATGTTTGGTTTTGTTCTTCCATATCGCACAGCTTTTCTATCCTCAGAGACAATAAGTTGAGGATGTGCTGTGTCAAGATCTAGAATCATATCTACTTGAAATGGCTTGATAATTCTGTCCAAGCCAGAATACTGAGGAGGAAGACTGAAGCCATATTTTGTTAATCTAAATGAAAAGAGTTCAGGGCGTTTTAGGCTTTGATACCTGTTGTGTATACTCTTAACATGTGTCAGTAATTCCAGGTTTGACTGCACAGACTTGCCCTCTACCTCCCTCAGTAGATGTTTTAATGTAGAAACATAATCTGAAAATTTTTAACATGTGTCAGTAATTCCAGGTTTGACTGCACAGACTTGCCCTCTACCTCCCTCAGTAGATGTTTTAATGTAGAAACATAATCTGAAAATTTTACAAGGTTTTCATTTAGTTTTGCTAAAATGTCCATCTCTTCATCTTGTATCTGCCGAAGAATAGCCTCTTGCTCATTCTGTAAAAACAATCTAATTTGCTCAAACTCAGAATTTATTTCTTCCCTCTTATATTCTACCTTCTTTTTCAGGTCCACTGACTTGCTGCCTTGGAGAATTATCACTTTTTCAACTCGTTTTATATTATTTTTCAAGGGCTCAAGGCTACCTTCTAGAATTTCTCTGTGATAAGGGGCAGCTTTCTTAATAGGGCAAATGTAGTGCTTCCGGTGTTTAGTGGAGAAACTGCACTGTATACATAAGATCTCTAGATCCTTCACACAGAAGAGGGTCAGAAACTGATTGTGCTTTTCACACACGGCATTCTCTTTCTGCCTCTTTCTCTTGCTCCTCCTAATCTGGAGTTGTTCAGCAATTTCAGTGAAATTACGGAGCTGGGGGTTCTTCCTGAAGCTCTTGTATGGAAAGCAAAAACGGCAAACAGGACAGGGAAAAGTATCATCTAGATCCTTCCAGGATACACTGAGGCAGGAGCGACAGAAGTTGTCCCCACAGTTGATGGTCACTGGGTCTTTCAAGTACTCCAGACAGATGGGACAGCTAGATGCCTCTTGGAGTTTAGCCAGGGCTGTCACAAAATCCATTGAGCTGTGAACAAAGGTAGTGTATAAGGTAAGCTCCCTTTGGTCAGTCCTGCCTCTGTAGAGCTCAAACCCAGTGAAATGTGAATACCCCTTCCATACCTTGTAGATTGATCAGGTTTAGGTTTCACTGGCCTAGCGTGCCAATGACACCCACTGAAGTCCTCTTTAGTCCCCTGTTTCTTAGCTTGGAGGATAATAATAATTTAAAGCTTACAGCTCTATTATAGATCAGCCCATCTGAATCTAAGTTTAATGATTTTCTACTTCAATAAACTAGCCACAGGTTATAATAGAGCAATCATTCCTGTGGGTGAGAAAAGATTATTATTATTATTATTATTATTATTTTAAAAAAATTTTTTTTTTTTTAATAAAAAGATGGGGTTTCACCATGATGGCCAGGCTAGTCTTGAACTTCTGACCTCAGGTGATCCACCCACCTTGGCCTCCCAAAGTGCTAGGATTACAGGAGTGAGCCACCGCGCCCAGTGATTATTTTTATTTTTTGAGACGGAGTTTTGCTCTTGTTGCCCAGGCTGGGGTGCAAAGGCGCAATCTCAGCTCACCGCAACCTTCGCCTCCCAGGTTCAAGCGATTCTCCTGCCTCAGCCTCCAAAGTAGCTTGGATTACAGGCATATGCCACTATGCTCAACTAATTTTGTATTTTTTTTTAATAACTTCACGCAGTGAAATTATTTCGTATTTTTAATAGAGATGGGGTTTCTCCATGTTGGTCAGCCTGGTTTCAAACTCCTGACCTCAGGTAATCTGCCCGCCTTGGCCTACCAAAGTGCTGAGATTATAGGCCTGAGCCACTGCGCCTGGCTGAGAAAATATTTTTAATTTCAAAATCTCCTGAATTTGGAATCACAATATAATAATTGGCTCAGGTAAGAATCATCACTAACTATAAAAACTACTGGGTAACATTTTATGAGAGAATGATATTCACATTCTCAAAAATTTTACTCTAGGATTATATTTTAATTACATATATAAGTACCTTTATAATGTAGAGATCTAGAGAATACCACCTGAACCAACGATGGGACAAACGGATGACCTGGAATGGAGAGCAAAGCATTACATCTATGGAGAACTTTTGCAGAATATATATATAATATATAAAATTCTATTATATGTAATTATATATAAAATAAAATTGTATTATTTTTTGAGATGGGGTTTCACTATCTCCCAGGCTGGAGTCCAATGGCATGATTCTGGCTCACTGCAACCTTTGCCTCCCAGGTTCAAGCGATTCTTCTGCCTCAGCCTCCCAAGTATTTGGGATTAAGGTCCCCGCCACCATGCCCAGCTAATTTTTGTAATTTTAGTAGAGATGGGGTTTCATCATGTTGGCCAGGCTAGTCTCGAACTCCTGACCTCATGTGATCCATCTGCCTCAGCCTCCCAAAGTGCTGGGATTACAGGTGTGGGCCACTGAGCCTGCCCTATAATATAGAATTAGATATAAAAATATATGTATAGTGCCGCCATGGTGTTCTCTGCACCGGTGGCCTACCTGACTCATCAGCAGAAGGTGTTGTGGTTTTATAAGCGGGCGCTAAGTCACCTCAAGTCGTGGTGTGTCCACAGGGACAAATACTGATACTTCACTTGTTTGATGAGAGCCCGGTTTGAAGAACATAAGAATGAAAAGGATATGATGAAGCCCACCCAGCTGCTGAGGGAGGCTGAGGAAGATTTCTGGTACCATGAGCATCCACAGCCATACATCTTCCCTGACTCTCCTGGGGGTATCTCGTATGAGAGACAGGAGTGTTACAAGGTTCCAGAAAACTGCTTGGATGCCTGGCATCCTTCCCAGAAGGCAATGTATCCTGATTACTTTGCCAAGAGAGAAAGGGGAAGAAACTTCGGGGAGAAAGCTGGGAAAGAGATTAAACAGCTGGAGGAGGAAATGCCACCTGGTGGTCCTCTGACTGAAGCTTTGACTCCTGTCCAAAAGGAAGGTGATTTGCCCCCACTGTGGTGGCATATTGTGACCAGATCCCGGGAGCGCCAGTGTAGAGAGACAGGGAGACCTCATCTTTCATGCTTGCAAGTGAAATACGTTACAGAACATACACTTGCCCTAATAAAAAAAAATCAGTGAAATAGTAAAAAAAAAAAAAATATATATATATATATGTATGTATGTATGTGTGTGTACATATATATATAAAACAATGATTCTTAATTGTTTCCTTGTGACTAGAATCAGATAAAATATATTACATAAATATACAAGTATATGTTAATATATTTATATATTAAACATACATGTTAGATATAAAATATATCTGATTCTAATCACAAGGAAACTAGAAACTATGAAGAAATCCAACTCATACAAGATTTAACATGAAAATGGTACTTAACAGCACAAATGACAACAGTGCTGGGAGAAAAAGCGGCAATTGTTCTTTTTTTTTTTTGTGACAGGGTCTTGCTGTGTCACCCAGGCAAGAGTGCAGCCATATGGCCACGGCTCTCTGCAGCCTCAGCCTCCAGAGTAACTAGGAACACAAGCTTGTGTCACCAGGCGTGTCTAATTTTAAACTACTTTGTAGAGATGGGGGTCTCTCTATGTTGGCCAGGGTGGTTTTGAACAATCCTCCCACCTTGGCCTCTTAAAGTGATGGGATTATAGGTGTGAGCCACTACACCCAGCCTGTTTCCTTATGTATGAGGAAAAAAAAAAAAAAGTAAATCATTCTCTTAGGTTGGATACTAGATTGGGAAAAATAAGTTGCAATAAAGTAGATAGTACAGTACAAAGTGAAAAAAAGGAATATCTACTATTTGTCAGATATTAGTAATACATCAAAGTTAAGCTTCCTGAATTTCCTAACCGTACCATAGCTACAAAAGAAAACGTCCTGATTCTTAGAAAATACATACTTTAAATACTTACTGGCGAAGGGGTCATGATCCTTATAAACACTTCTCTTTTCCTTCGGGTCACCTCACACATCCTATCTGCTGCTCCTCAACCTGACTGCCTTCCACCCACCCTCTAGTCTCTCATTATCCCATTTCTTTACTTTCATAGAACTCAGTCAGAATCTGAGATAGTTTTTTTCATGTATTTGTTTTTCTTTTGGCCTTAGCTGATGAATGAGATAGACTGGAAGTAGGTACTTAGTCTATTTTATTCATATGGAGGTGGTAGAAAATCAATAAAGACCTTCAAAAAAGTGAATCATGAACAAATGGATACATGAATGAATAAAATCCCAAAACTAATACAAAGAGAATAATGTCAATGCTATAAAAGATAAAATTTAGGTTGGGAGACTGTTCAAAATAAAAAGAGAGCCCCACCGCACTCCATCCATTTTGGAATTATTCTAATATGAATAAAATCATTAATCTTCGAACTAATTAAACAGGAGCTGGGCATGGTGGCTTTCGCCTGTAATCCCAGCACTTTGGGAGGCCAAGGCAGGCGGATCACTGGAGGTCAAGAGCTCGAGACCAGCCTGGCCAACACGGTGAAACTGCATCTCTACTAAAAATACAAAAATTATCTGGGCATGGTGGTGCTCGCCTGTACTCCCAGCTACTTGGGAGCCTGAGGCGGGAGAATCTTGAATCCAGGAGGCCAGGTTGCAGTGAACTGAGATTGCAGCACTGCATGTCAGCCTGGGTGACAGAGCATGTCCCCCCCAAAAAAAATTAATTAAATTAAAGAATTAATGAAACAGGTTACATGTAGTTATCAGATATTTTAACATCCATTCCATTCCATTCATCACCTATTTCAATCCAACACACTTCAGCAGAACACATAGCTACATCAGGCTTTCAGTCTGGAAGGAACTTTGAAAAGTAAGTTGGGTTGAACTTGTCCTGCCTTCCTAGATATACCTGCAAGTAATCCCAGTCTATAGGTAAATTCATTCCTTTTCCCCTTGACTCTAAATTACTTACCAGATCTTCCAGCTACTGTCATCCACGTGAGTGCTCTTAAATCGCTGTGCTATGTCATTGCACACTGAGCTCCACATGATGTGCTATGTCAGTGTGCAACGACACAGCACAGCAATTTAAGAGCACTCACGTGGATGACAGTGGCTGGAAGAAATGGACTGGTGAAGGTGCATTCTCTAACATACACTGACTCACAGCTCTGATCTTTCTCTGATCTACTAGGATTCAGAATTTGTTTAACCATCCTATGTAAATCTCTCATCTTTGCAAACACTATTTCCTTTACTGAGAGGATCCTTTCCTCACTTTTTCCCAAAGATTGATCTCTCAGGATGTTTGGAAACAGCTCAAAAGTCACCTTCTCTGGTAAGGTTTACTACGTGTCAGGAATAGTGCTTTCCACACAATAACCGATCTCCTTAATTAAACCCTCACAACAATTCGGGAGATCTGTCATAGGCCCTGAGAGTCCCTCTCTGATCTTCTGGATAGGCCAAAATTCCACTATGACCACTCTATCCAGGATATTTTTCGTGGTGTGTTTGCAGGAGGCATATTTGAAAGAAGATGTAAGTGTCAATTTGGGACAAAGAACAGGTTTGCTAAAATGGATTCCCAAGCTCAGGGTTCACTGGCCATGATACAAACCCATGTTGTGTGTGACATCTACCATGGTCCCTTTGCACCACCTCTGTGGGACTTGGGAGGCCTGGGGAACCAACACCAACGTGATGCTCATGCTGCTGGCTGTATCAGAAGTAATAAAGTTATTTGTCTCCAATCCAAGACTGTTATGTCTTCTGGCAGTATCCATTAAAATATTAACAGGATAACTTAATACCTTGCAAGTAAGGCAAAATCCCAAACCCTGATGGTTTGGTTATTATCCTCAATTACAGGCATGGCATTATTTATTTATTTATTTATTTTTATTGCATTTTAGGTTTTGGGGTACAAGTAAAGAACATGGGGCCGGGCGCGGTGGCTCACGCCTGTAATCCCAGCACTTTGGGAGGCCGAGGCGGGTGGATCACGAGGTCAAGAGATCGAGACCATCCTGGTCAACATGGTGAAACCCCGTCTCTACTTAAAATACAAAAATTAGCTGGGCATGGTGGCGCACGCCTGTAGTCCCAGCTACTCGGGAGGCTGAGGCAGGAGAATTGCCTGAACCCAGGAGGCGGAGGTTGCGGTGAGCCGAGATCGCGCCATTGCACTCCAGCCTGGGTAACAAGAGCGAAACTCCGTCTCAAAAAAAAAAAAAAAGAACATGTAAGATTGTTGCATAGGTACACACGTGGCAGTGTGGTTTGCTGCCTTCCTCCCCATCACCTATATCTGGCATTTCTCCCCATGTTATCCCTCCCCAACTCCCCACCCCCCACCAACCCTCCCCTATTCCCCCACCCCCACAGTGTGTGATGCTTCCTTCCCTGTGTCCATGTGTTCTCATTGTTCAACACTCGACAGGCATGGAATTTAAACGTATGATTTGATTGGGCATGATAGCTGACGCCTATAATCCCAGCTCTTTGGGAGGCCGAGGTGGGTGGATCACCTGAGGTCATGAGTTCAAGACCAACCTGGCTAACATGAAAAACCTTGTCTCAACTAAAAATAAAAAAATTAGCCAGAAGCCTGTAATCACAGCTACTTAGGAGGCTGATACAGGAGAATCACTTGAACCCAGGAGGTGGAGGCTGTAGTGAGCCGAGATTATGCCACTGCACTGCAGCCTGGGCAACAAGAGTAAAACTCATCTCAAACAAATAAACAAACAAAAAGGTTTGATATGCTTATCCAAAGTCCTAATACTAACTGGTGTAACTACTGGTGTGATACTAAATCATTAAGCACACTATCTTTTTCTTTTCTTTTTTATTTTATTTATTTTTTTTTTGGGGACGGAGTTTCGCTCTTGTTACCCAGGCTGGAGTGCAATGGCGCGATCTCGGCTCACCGCAACCTCCGCCTCCTGGGTTCAGGCAATTCTCCTGCCTCAGCCTCCTGAGTAGCTGGGATTACAGGCACGCGCCACCATGCCCAGCTAATTTTTTGTATTTTTTTTTAGTAGAGACGGGGTTTCACCGTGTTGACCAGGATGGTCTCGATTTCTTGACCTCGTGATCCACCCGCCTCAGCCTCCCAAAGTGCTAGGATTACAGGCTTGAGCCACCGCGCCCGGCTTTTTTCTTTTTTAGACAGAGTTTCTCTCTTGTTGCCCCGGCTGGAGTGCAATCCTACAGTCTCGGCTCACTGCAACCTCTGCCTCCTGGGTTCAAGTGATTCTCCTGCTTCAGCTTCCCAAATAGCTGGGACTATAGGCACATGCCCACATGCCACCACTCCTGGTGTTTTTTCTTTTCTTTTTCTTTTTTTTTTTTTTTTTTGAGATAGAGTCTTACTCTTGTATCCCAGGCTGGAGTGTAATGGCATAGTATCGGCTTACTGCAACCTCCGCCTCCTGAGTTCAAGCGATTCTCCTGCCTCAGCCTCCCTAGTAGCTGGGATTACAGGTACCCACCACCACGCCTGGCTAATTATTGAATTTCTAGTAGAGATGGGGTTTCACCATGTTGGCCAGGCTGGTCTTGAGCTCCTGACCTCAAGTGATCAGCTGGCCTTGGCCTCTCAAAGTGCTGGGATTACAGGTGTGAGCCACCACACCCAGCCTAAGCACACTATCTTTTCTTCGTATTCACATTAGTGCATAGCGTTCAAAACCTTTATTAAAGAGCTTCATATAGTTCTGTTTAATTCACCCAAATGGACATCCATAAATTGTAACTATATCAAATAGCCTAATGAGGGGAAAATTAAGATTTTTAAACTTTTAAAAAACCACGTAAGATGTGTAAACAGATACCACAGGAATTATTAGATAGCAGTCTCTAAAGGGATGGGTGTTTCACTTCAACATTCACTTACCTAGATCATTGACCAACTAACTTAATTTCTCTGAGTTTGTTTCTACTTCAGCAAGCTGAAAGCATTAAATGAAAATAGCCATGTAAGGATGTTACAGTGCCTGACCCAGAACAGATGCTCACGAAGTGGTTTTGTGCAAAACAATGAGCACAGCAGGCCTAAGACTGCCACCCTTATAAGGCTGCTTGTGAGGCTGCTACTTGGCGACTTTGATTTCCAGAATTTATGAGGAACTTATGAGGAAATAGGTCCTGTCATTCCCTCATAAGAAT